CATTGGGAGAGAATGAGGGAAGGGGTTACAGCTGGGATACAAAGTGAATAAACTGTAATTAATACAAGAAATGGATAAGTGTCATTATCACAGGAGTAGGTTCCTGATAAAAGAACAAGTTTATATCCCATTACACCCTCCTTCCTCATCCCCCTGCAAACACACAAGCTAGCCTCAGCCTCCTGACCATTCATCTTCTGCCATAGGATGATGGAAGAAGAATCCTCTTTTGCCAGATGTGGGCCCCTCAACATTGGGATTCCCCATCTCCATAATTTTAAGAAATAAATTTCTTAGAAATCACCCAGTTTAGCCTGGGCATGGAGGAGCACACCTGTAATTCCAGCACTCGGAAAGGCAGAGGTAGGCAGATCTCTGTGAGTTCGAGACCAGCATGGTCTACAAAGCAAGTCCAGGAGAGCCAAGGCTACATAGAGAAACCCTGTCTCAAAAAAAGAGAAAAAAATTCACCCAGTCTGTGTATTTTAATAGCAGAAAGTACCAGAACATCTGCAAACATGGAGTTCTATAATTGTCTGTGTATTTTATTCCCCAACTGTCGTTCTTTGGCAATTTCTTTCCTGCTTCCTGTGCCTGATAAGTGGTATACATCAGCTCATGCATTTAAAGAGCCTGTAAGGGTTGTTTTTAAGCACAATTTCCGAAAGTATCTGAGCCTCAGGAGCAATGGCATACATTCAAAGCTGGCGGCAGATGACCTTATTTTCACTACAATTTCGTACCACAGTCTCAGAGGAAAAAAATGCTGCTTGTCTCAGCAAGTCCACTAGGTCTGCTCAAGCGCTCCGCTGAGCCCTATCACGTCAGTGGTTGTGCTGATAAGGGCACCCCAGGCCCAAGTGTTTCTGATTACTACAAACCTGGAAGAAGTCTGCAGAGTTCTTCTATCAGTAGATCCCTCTGCTACAGTTACTCTTTGGGAGCATGGTTTGAAGACAGGCTATAAAACTTACCTACCTTGGCTGAAAGGGGCTCATCTGTCTTTTTTTTTTTTTTTTTTTTTTTTTTTTTACCCATTGTTACAAAGAGGACTGAGTACTAGAAATGAAAGGCTTTCATAAAGAACCTGAATACTCATGATCCTGAAAATCAAGCAATACACTGATTTCCCCTTAAAACACCAGAATGAGTATTCAGATTTCAAAATCATTTATTTACTTCACTGTTTTAAAAAAGATTTCAAAATCATTTATTTACTGTTTTATAAAAGAAGTGGCACAAGGGTCAAGTCCAAGTTTTACTCTTGTGTGACGTGTATATTCACAAACACCAAATCCACAGGGTAAACTGACTAGAGGCTGAGAAAGGAATGGAAGTCTATGCTGAGAACAGACAAACTGCTTCTCCATCTCAGCACTACTGATATCTTGGGCTGAATAATCTGCAGCATACAGAATCCCTGAAATCTACCCACTAGATGCCAGCAGCACTCGCATCCCATGTGAAACAACCAAGTATGTCTCCAAACAGACAAATGTCCCAGCAGGTGCAAGATCTGTGGCACAGAAAACGGAAAAATGCTCTGATCAGAAACCAGTGCTCTAAGACCATGAGAAGGTATATGCTTAAAACAAAATAAAAAGACACAGGCTGAAGCTAGAGATGTTTCTGGAAGCATATCAAAACTGGACTAGTCATTTTGTCACTCTAGCAAATAAAACTCAATGTTTGCAACCATAGTGCAACCAGAAGCAAAAATTAAAAATAAAAATAAATTAAAAAAAAAACAAGACCAAAACCACATTTACTTGACAAGTTCCTTCAGTGCAAATCAATGAGGTTAGAAGGATGAATTCTAACTGAAAACTTACACAGAGAAAGATGACTAACCCAGAAGGTTTAACATGATAAAAATCACACTCAAATCCACAGCAAAACCAAAAGGGCAAATTGGTTCTATCTCCTCTGCCAGCTCCAATCAGGTGATGCCTTCCTGGAGCCAAGAACAGAGGAGGGCTCTGGGATTCAGTGAGCTACTTGAATATGAAAAATATACAAATAACTATCCACGATGGCCACAAACAGGCAGGGGGGGCAGGAACATCTCCAACTTCTTTTATGTTCAAAATCATATTCAGCAAAAAAGGAAAGCCATAAAACAATTCTCCACAGACAGCAAGAGACAGAGAGAGGGAGAAAGAGGGAGAGGCAAAAGAAGGAAGGAAGACAGACAGAAAGAAATTCTATCACTCTCCTACTTTTATCAGCTCTGGCTCCCAACTTCCCAGGAGAACGCCCAAAGCAGCCCACAAAGCCTCCACAATTTCTTTACCCACTTGTTCACACACTTCCCCAAGGCCGTCCGCACCACTCTGGCTGGCTCTGGTGCAGCCAGGTACCTAGTGCCTCACTGTCTCCCCAAAGCCCACGCAATTTCACACTCCCCTCATCACTACCCGGCCCAGGAAACCTTTGTGCCTCCTGTTCAGTCACGTCCTCTCATCTGCTCTTTGGAGCCCACTATTACTCAAAGTACAGTCCTCGGATAGGCAGCAACAGCATCACCTGGGAGCTCGGTGGACAAGCAGACTCTGCAGCCCTCCCCCACAGATCAGAATTTTCTTCATAACAAGATCCTCAACTATAAATGTGAGTCACGTATAAGTCCAAGTGCAAGCGGAGCTCTCAAGGAAACTAGGTCCCAACATCACACCTTCTAACAAGTGTCCTATTATGAAGTACCTGGGTGACTGTCTATGGGACAAAACCCTACACATCTTCTATATTAAAGCAGGACACCAAAACACCTGCTTCTAGCGTTCATGGCCACCAACTGACACAGGTCTAGTCAGTGAAATGTCAGCAGAAGCCTGCTGGGGGCTCCTAGGTGAACATTTATTTCCCTCATGACTTCCAGACTTCCTATTAGAACACAGGGTGCTGCAGGTGCCAGTGTCAGCTAACCATAAGGTAACACACACAAGACCAAAATCCCAGTAACAGCTAAGGACAACAGAGTGGGTTAGCACTGGGTCCATGCACCTTCTGGGACACCACAGAACCACCAGACTACTGTGCCAGCCGGTTCAACATTTCTACTGCTCAGCACTCTCATTGGGGAATGTTCCTTCCAATGGTGAATGCATTTCTATCTGTGTAAACTGTTAGTAAAGGGAAGGTGAATTAAAGAATACACTGAACTCTACTGAAGGTCCAGGAGATTACAGTGTTTCAAAAACAAGGACTCCAAGAACATGCTCAACTTTGCCAAATACGCCTCCGAAGTCTCTATTCTAGAAGTATTGACCCATTTCTGTTGGTAGCTTAATGGATGCAAAAGTGAGCACAACCTCATAAAAAGCAATGGAAATGACTTCGAAGAATGTGCCCAACTTTGTCAAAGTATGCCTATCAATCAATCAATCCTGCACATCCAGAATTACTAACCCATTTCTCCTAGCTCATAGGAGATGGACACAGAAGTGAGGACCACCTCCTAAAAGCAACTGCAGTGTTTACATGCTAAGGCACTAACATACCAAAAAACCACAAACCTCACACTAGGATTGTGCCTTGAAACCTTCCCCACAGTTGTGGCTACCCATGGGTAACTATAAGCCAAGGAGGCGGATCCTGTAAAAAATGCTGTTCTAGTTTCTTACTTTGAGACCTCTAACATGAATCTTTGTCTTTTTTCCAGACCTTATTTCAGACTATTATTTCCATTCAAAATTTCAAGATCAAACAGTAAACACTTTTTTCTTTTTAAGCAACATAAATACAATCTAAGCAAAACTGATTAAAAGGGAGTGGTAGGCAACAGCAGCATTGCTCCTCTGCAAGGCAGGACCTAACCAAAGCGAACTCTTCAGCTCCATCATCATTCAGTCCTGCAATCCAATCAGTACTTGGAGAAATGTATTTTAGAGAGAAACTTGATAGCACCAATGGAAAACCAGTACCACTTGCCATAAATAGAAGACAAATGAAAAAAAAAAAATCCAATAAAAGCATAACCTTATTACATTTAGCTATTGTTGGGTTGAAAAGATGGCTCAGCAGATAAACCTGACAACCTGAATTCAATCCCCAAAATCCACATAAAGACGGAAAAAGAGAACTGTCTTCACAATTGTCCTGACCTCTACACACAGTGCCACACAGACATACACACGTAAATACTTTTGTAATAAACTTAATGTTGCCTACCAAAGTCTCTGAACTTGAAACGTGTTTTTTTAAAAAGAGGAGTGGGGTATTATTCAACTTCATTCTCGTATCCATGTCCCACCTCAAAGTATCCTTATACAATCTCCAATCATCTCCCTGTTCAGCTTGCAGTAAAAACTCAACTCCTTAGGACAGCCTAAATGACCCTTACCATCTAGACCCTGCAAACTCCTCTGCTCCCCAATCTCATCCCCTCAACTACACGGGCAGCTCCGCCAGCAGCTGCAAACCAAGGCCAGGACCACCTCTTCATCTACTACATCATCAGGTTCTGCCTTCTTCGAAGTACTATCTGAGAACACTTGGTTCATCTTACTTAAGAATGAAAAGAAAAAGAGTAATTTGCACATCCGGTACCAGACAGCGCTGAAGCATTTCACTTATCCCCATGAACCCCCTAAAAGTGCCCAAACTGGGTAATCTCAGCGTCCAGTGAAACCTGTCAACTTGCTGTGAGTAAGCACCAGGTAAACAGAAGCATAAAGAGGCTCGGTGATTTGCTAGGAAAGAAGGCAGATTCGAACCCAGGCGGATGCTCTTCCACCAATACCCGCTCCAAACACTGCAGTTCCGTGAAGGCAGGGTCTTGCTCCTGGCAGCATCCATCCCCAAGACGGAGCACGGGCCCTGGCTCCTGTGTCCCGGGCTCGAAGACAAGCTGGACGCGTGAACGGTGGGAGGAACGCGTTCCTTTGTCATCTGGGTTATCTTCCACAACTCTGAGCATCCAGAGCAGAAATCCTCCCGGCCTGAAGAGGGGGGAGCCCAAAGAAGGCGCCCGAGCTCCAGGGGTCCCCCTCCGGGCTCACCTTGAAGTCTCGGCTGTGCTGCGGGGTGTACTCCAGGGTCCAGAGCGCCCGCACCAGGTGCGCCAGCTGCTCGGTGACCTCGCCCTGGCCGTGCGGGCCGCGGGCCGCCGGCTGCACCGGCTCCGAGGGCTCCGGCCCGGCCGCCCGGTACTGGCCCAGGGCCAGGTACTCGGCGAAGAGCTCGGTGTTACTGAGGCACTGCAGCGTGGCGTTCATGAAGCACGTGTTGCCGTGGTTGCGGAGCCCCGCCACGCCGGGCACCGGCTCCGAGGCGCAGGCGGGCGGCGCGGGCGAGGCGGGCGGCGGCGGGCACGGCGGCGGCGTGGGCGCGGAGGCCGGGCCGGGCGGGAAGCAGCTGCGGAGGCCGCCGCGGTCCGGGGCGGCGCCCTCGGAGCTGAGGTGCGAGAGCGTGGACAGCGTCTTGAGGACGCGGCTCATGAAGCTGCCCACCGAGCGCGCCGACGACGGCGACGAGGGCGCGGCCGGCCCGGGGCCCCCAGCGCCGCCGCCGCCCCCCGCGCGGCCGCTCCGGAACAGCCGCTTGCTGAACGAGCGCTTCTCCTTCCCGCCCGCCGCCACCGGCGGCCCGGGCCCGGGCGCCGTTACCTTGGACATGGCGCCGGCTGCCGACGCTCATCACCGCGCCCGTCCGCCCGGACCGCGACCCCGCCACGGCCGCCGCCGCATCCCGCCGCCCGCGCCTCCCCGGGCCCGGGGGCTTCGCGCCCCACACCACCTTAAAAGCGCCTCGGAGGGAGCCAGCGAGAGCTAGGCGGCTGAGGGGCGCGCGTGCGCGCGCGGCCGCCCAAGTGGGCGGCTCACGTGACTCGCTCGCCTCGCGGCCCCGCCCCACACTGAAGCCGCGAGGCCGCCATGTTGACTGTGGGAACGGCGTTGTCCCTGAACCCCGGCTTCAGGGCTCCGGGCTCCGGGCGTGGTTCTGCGTGCTGAAGCTCAACACCGGCCATGTTTGGTATGGGCACGGTCCTACAGGCTGGGCAGACGCTAGGAGGTGGGTTTTAGGGGTGGGTCTCTGTCTTTGCAGATCCCAGGGAAGAGACCTAGAGAAAGTATGAAAATCGAGCTGCCTCTTAGCAGGGCGTGAGGGAGCTGATAGACGTAGCTTTGTCTTGCCCTAGGGGAGTTAACCCAGCCTGGCTCCCGAGGGACGGCCGCGTACCACCCACCCGAACGTGGTCACGGAGCTGGCACATTCTGATGGGCTTTTCTTCCAGGGTGTACCTTGGGGTCCCAGCAAACTAGTAGTATTAGAATTGCCTTAGTGAAAAGTTTTGTAAAAATCAGCCTTTAAATCCGCTGACCTCTCCCATCATTCACGCCATCCACTGAGCACTCGTGCACTCATTCATTCATTCATTCATTCATTCATTCATTCAATAGCTACTGAACACTTGCTGTGTCAAATACCGTACTAAACGCTAAGGGTACTACAAGAATGAAACTACAGCTTACACGCTCAGCAGGTACTCATTCGTGATACCCTTTGCAGTCAACACGATATGTCAAGCATGGAATACCTGCTTTAACCTTCAACTCAATGCCTTTGATAGCTCATTTAAGCCCAAGTTTGACTCAAAGTCTTAACCTTTAAACCAAGGGTCACAGACCCACGACTATCCCCAGATGAGTCATTCACATAAACAAAGGTGAAGGGTCAGTCATCTGCTGATCAGGTCACACTTCATGTGACTTGGGAATACAAGAAATGTTGTGGAGAGTGGCAAACTGCTAATTAACATTCTTCTAAAGGGATGGCTGCCACTCACCTCCAGTTAGTTGTCCTCATGTGAGAATGGTGACGTGGTGTTGCCAGGTCATCTGATTTCTAGAGAGAAGGTGGAAACTCTATTTTTAAGTGTTGGTTCAATTAAAAAAAAAAAAAATAGTGCATGGGAGAACAGTGTGCCTTAAGGCTGCCTTCCTCTTAAAATCTTCTGGTTTCTAATCTTTCCCTTTGTATGTTCTCTTTGCTGAGAAATTAGCCTGAGTCCTGGTTACTGCAAAATGGAGATATTGGGAAAGGAAGCCCATAACATTTTAAAAATAGAAAGGCCACCCATCTCAAAGTAAGTAGTTGGGACTCTAGACTACACAATAGTAAGTATCATATCCTGTAAAGATGTTCTTGGTTTGCTCTGAATAGGTTCAAACCAACTCCACTTCTACTTCATAATCAAAACCTCTATCCTGACTGTACCGCAGGCTCCTCGCAACATCAGAAAGAAAGCTGAAGCCTGATGTCCTCCACCTTGGCACACATACTTACTGCTCCTAGTGGTTTGATCCTGATTGAGAGCCTTTGCCCAAGCAGATACATCTGCTTCGAATATCTTTCCTTGCACTTCCTCACTCTATTCACCTCTCTTCGTCTCTAAAACCTTGCCTTCATTTCTTGCAGACTCTCTTAGTAAGTACCTTTTGGCCATAGCATTGACTTGACCCTGTTAGAATTCAACATACAATGAGCCACTATCTTAGTTATTTTTCTATTGCCCTGAAGATACACTGTGATTAAGGCAACTTATAAAAGAAAGTACTTAGTCAAGGGCTTGTTTACAGTTTCAGAGAGTTAGTCCCTGATTATCATTGTGGGAAGCATGATGCTGAAGCAGTGGCTGAGAGCTTACATCTTATCCAAAGGTTGGAGGCAGAGAGAATGAGAGGCAAAACAAGAATGTGTGTGTGCATGCGTGTGAGGGGAGAGACAGAGACAGCCTGGGCTTGGTGTGGGCTTTTGACAACTTCAAAGCTCACCCACAACAACACACCTCCTCCAACAAGACAACATCTCCTAATTCTTACCAAAACCCAAAATAGTTCTACTAATCAGAGACCAAGCATTCAAATATACGAGCATGTGGGAGTCGTCTTCGTTTAAGCCACTACAGTCATTTTCAGTAAACTGTAGGCTCAACCCGCAAGACCCTCGCCCATCTTACTCATTCAGGAAACTCAGTTAACTGCAAGAGTATATCTAAATTATGTCTGAACTCCTGGAAGGATATGTGAGAACTGCCTTTCCAAGTTCCTCCTACCAGTCTAGGCTTATGGGTCTCCAGGGACCCCAAGCCATCCAATCCTTGATAATCCAGAGTAGGCTTTGAAGAGTCCCTTGTTGAGCACTCATATGGTGGTGGTGGTGGTGGTGGTGGTGGTGGTGGTGGTGGTGGTGGTGGTGGTGGTGGTTGTGCTGCTGCTGCTACAACTGCTTCTAAGCTCCTCCTTCTTCTATTTTATGTGTATGAATGTTTTGCCTGAATGTATGTCTGTGTATCACATATGTGCAGTGTACTGAAAAGCCAGAAGAAGGCATCAGATTTCCTGAGACTAGAGTCCCTGTGGGAATTGAACCCAGGTCCTCTGGAAGAGCAACCAGTGCTCTTAACCACTGAGCCATCTCTCAGCCCAATATGTTCATTCTTAAGATTTATCCAAAACCACACTCCATAATAAATATCCCACCGCCCCTCCCTTAAACTTCAGCTAGGGAAACACAAATGAGAAATAAGAGCACAGTGAGGAGCATCCTTGGCTGTGCTTTATTTATTTTTGCAACTACCCTTAAGCTGAAACTCAGGTCAAGGAGCTTGTGTGCATCACAAACCTACCTTGGGGCAGGTTTGTCTGGGAAACAATGAATGGAGAGCACAGCTCCCACCCAGGAGATGGTGCTGAAAAGTTTTATCAACTTTGTCACACTGGCAACCTTAGTAATAATAACCAGGATGGTATCACTATTCTTAGGAGTCACAAGGCCAGGTTTGAACAAGTTAATACAGGTTAGCATTGGAGAGATTTGGAGAAACTCTGTTTCTTTGAGAATCAGCTTTTCATCTACGGAAAGGGTTAATGCCTAGCTTCACCTTTGTGTGGATATGCACATATTTGGTAAGTGTTAAAGTTTCTCATACTCTACTGAGTAGCTATATAGACAGCAATACATTTTAACAAAGATGAAAAGAAGTGCGATGACCTTAGCTGGCATATTAATGGGCTTTGATTTGTACAAATGAGCTTGGGTTCAAGCTGGGCTTTTAGCTCTTCAACATTCAAACCAACTTCCAGTTTGGAAGGGATACAGAATTAGGGAAGAGAACTCAAGCTTCCCCTGTGAACACAGAGCAGAGTTTGGGGAGAATGTGTTCTCCTTACCATTCCTATCGGCTAGAACCCAGCAAAGTAACCTAATAAAGACCAACCAGGTGTGCCCCGACCCCAACTTAGACGTTGATATTGTAGGAAAAAAAAAAAAAAAAAAAAAAAACAGGTTAGCTGGAGATAATGCTTCAAATCATGAAACCCCACAGCTCTGTGTTTGGCATCCATGAGGGACAGGGCCAGACACGGGTGCAGCCACTGTCCTGCTGGCCACCCGAATGGCAAGTTCTTACTGGCCTCTGCCTCCCTGAGTTTCTGCCCAATCCTGTTTCCCCAGCTCTGTTTTCATTGTTACCTAACCTGACAGGCTTCTTATAAATTCCTTTATTGCTGAAACTGTTAACTGGGGTCAGTTTCTTTTGTCTGTAATCAAGAAAATGACTAGTAGTACCTTTTAATTAGCAGTTCTTAATTTTTTCCTAGTGTGAGTTACCTGCAGGCATTTGCATTTCCCTTTCCTTTTATGTGTGTTGGTTGACAACAATAAATTGCATGTAAACTGTTGTTGATATTTCAGGTTTTTTTTTTTCTTTAGGGTAGCCTGAACTTCCTGGTGATCCTCCTACCTCAACCACCTGAGTACTGGAATTCTAGACATGCGTCGCCACCCGCTTCGTCAATGCCGTATCATTTAGTTGCCTTTCAACCATGTTTACAGGGTTTCCATGTCACATACAACACTTTAATATTTTCCATCTCTTCTATAAAAATGGTTATTTGTCATGCTTTGACAAACAACTTTCCTTACCCCAATATCACAAGAATGGTAATCTGTATTTTCCTTTCATTTTCTTCTTGGGGGTTTCCCCTTCACTTTAATATTAGAATTTCTGGACTTTGTGTGCGTGTGTGTTGTAAAAAATGAGGTAGGGCCCTACTATGGTTCACATTACCTTTGACTTCCCCACATTTGTGTTGCAGTTTGGTATCAGCATGACCATGTTGGGACATGAATGAAAGGGAAGGGTTTGGATCATAGGTGTGGAGCCCATATAGGGACTGAGGACTTTCTCGGGTGAGTTCCTGCTTGTTCTTGTAAGACTGGATTAGTGACCACGAGAGCAGGTTTTCATGAAGCGAGTTTGGACTCTCCAGCTTTCTCATGCTTTTCTCCCACAACCCACTCATCCTTCTACTTTCGGTATCAAGTTGGAGTAATACAGGAGCCCTGCCAGAGACTGGCAACCTATCTCGGACTTTCCAGGATCCAGAAGAGCCCTGAGGATGCAGCACAGTTTATACCATGCATCGCTAGCATCCGTGAAGCCGTGGGTTCCATCCCAATGCCTCCTAAACCAGGGATGTGAATCAGTACACACCCATCATCCCCAAACTGGGGAGGGAGGACAGGAGAGTGAAAAGTTCAAGATCATCCTCTACCACATGGCAAGCCCAAGGGCGTACGGAGATAGACCCTGTTTCAAAACCAACCAAACAAGTCTCTTTTCTTTGTAATTTACTCAGACTCAACTATTATGTCATACCAGGAGAAAAATTCTAAGACAGAATCTTACTTTTCCTCT